CGCCACCTTTTTCCTCCTGCAGGCACATGAACTGAAATAAGCTGATTGAGGTTTTTTTTTACATTTCTGGAGAAACTGAAGAGACTTTGCAATGCATTTAACTAATTAGAAACTAAATTTACTAATAATTGTAACTGAAAATTAATTACTGAATTTAGTACAGTAATGCATTACTGAAAAAGGTAATGTGATTACAATATTTACACCCAGCGCTGCAAGTAATATAGTCAAATCTCTTTCCCTTAGGGTCATATGATGCACTGGGGTAAATGACAGTGTTGCCATTGCTGCACAAATAAATGAAATAAAATGAAAAATATCAAGCTGAAAGTAGAGAGTGTAGAATAATTACTCAAGAAGCAGAATTATCAATCAGATGTGAAAATGTCATCAGCGATTTGGAGTCAAAGTTGATAAGTTAGTAAGCGTCAGGTTCGTGCAGGCTGCAGATGTTGTCATTCAGGCTGTGGCTGCTGTAAATGTGGAGGAGCAATATTTGTCAGACACTGTTTGTTTGTCATTTTTGGTGAAACTGAGCCACTTGTCCTCAGCGACTTCAGTGTGCTGTGTGTGATGTACTAAACTAAAAAGGACTTTTTTAATGTGACATTTTCATTATCTTGCCTGATATGTCACATAGATTTATCATCGCTGTTTCTTTATCCAGTTTAGTTTATTAAGTGACATGTTATAACTATGGCAGCCAAAAGCTGATTTTTTTATTTCATGCTGGTAGGCTGTTCTTTGTTTAATTGGTCACATGACTAAAATGCGGCATCGTTTTAGAAAGTCTGCGTTTTCGAGCGTCCACACTGCGACGGGGCAGCTCCATTTTGAAATGAATGCGTTTTTGAGAGCGTTTCCAAAACGCTGCATTTTTTTCCTTGAGGAAAACGTCGTCTCAGTGTGAACGGGAGGCCAAAACGGAGAGAAAACGACGCGTTTTCGTTTGAAAACGCATTAGTGTGGATGTAGCCTTAGAAAGTTCTTGCTCCTTTTCTTGCTTTTTCTGTGTCTTATTTTTCCTCCTTCTGCCTCCACTTCTTTTCTCTTCTTCAGCTACCTGGGGCAGCTGACTCTTTGGCATGTTAAACGCTTGCATATTACAGTTCACATTGAGGAAATCGGATCTTGAGCAACAGCTCTGCCCTCTGGCACAGGGGGCAACCTGTACATAGACACACAAGCATGGACACACAGTGCAGTGTGAGCTTCACGGCTGCCTCTAGCCAAGTGCCTTGTGTTGACACAGGCTCTGTGTGGCACAGGCCCATATAGCTGAGCTGTTGTTTGCTGAGCTTGGTCCATGCCGTACTGGCTAGAGAGATAATGGAAAAGGTTATTCTTCTTTACAGTCGAAGCCTCCGTCTCCAAGCAGCAGACTGGTTTGTTTGGGATTGGGGGTTTTTTGTGTCTGTAGGCAGAATTATAATGTCAGGGCTTCTCGTACCATTTGGATGTGTAATGGCCGAGGTCACTGTCAGAGTTTTACAGGACTGCACGTTTTATGTTTTTCTAAATAAAAGTCTTAAGTGCCTGTGCCTCTTCCGACCTTAGCGCTTCTGAATTTCCAAATGTTTTGCGGCCATAGTACGAAACGCATTTCATGCATGTACAGGATACCAAATGTTGTTACCCTGAAAGAATGCCTTCCCTACTTAAAACCACGGTAGAGTACTCGCTACTGAGCCATTAACAAAAAAAGAGAAACAAAAAAACTTTATCCTGTGAATCAAATAGATCTGCTCTTACAACCTGAAGCTATCTTGTTGCTTCGTATAGTCTCAGTCTATTGTTCTATGAATGCAGAGGAGGCTATTTGCAGTTAAAAATGAGACTGAGCGGCATGTCGTGGTGAGCGGGGTACAAAGCGACAGGTCATTCCTAACAATGTCAGGCTAGCTTCCTGTAAGTGCTGCAATCAGAATTCTGATGGTTTTTTGTACCTGCTCGATCGCAGTGTGGAAAAAGTCTTTTGTTCCTTTTTTTTCCCCCCCCCCCACATGACCCATTATGCAGCCTGCTGAGAAATAATGAGATTTTGTCCCTATTTGGGTTTGATGCTCTCTGTGCTCCAACACACAACCAGTGCATCCACTGCTGCCCGGGGAATGTAGTGTGGAGAGAATTACAATAAGGGCTAATGGAAACATCCAGGCTAGGCAAAAGATGTTGTTTGCTAAAAAGCCCAATGTGTCTTTGACATGACATGGTTGTCATTTCAATCACAGTATATCTAAAACGCTCTGTTTTTTGTTTTCTTTTTTCTTTTTTCAGTGTGGCAGGTTAATTGTGGCCACTCTGGGCATTAAAACATGGCTTTGAGTTAAACCACTTTAAAGTAACACAAACTTTTAAATAGGTAGCCTTACTGTCTTTAATCGTCTTTTGCCAGTGAAACAGATAATCAACCCATGTAACCTTTGCCTCCCAAGAAATGAACTTTTAAGATTCTTTTTAAAGGCATCAGTGGCGGCAAAATATCTCAGAGATGAGCTGACACTGCTTATGCTGAAGGCTGCTGCAGGAGCTTGGGTTTGAATCTGCCTCAGACCATTTCCTGTGTGTCATTCCCCCCTCCCTGCTTTCCTGTCTGCTTTCGGTGCTTTCCTATCAATAAAGGCAGAATGCCAGAAATGAATCTTAAAAAAGACAACAGTGAAACACAGATAATGGTCCTCGTCACCATAACCAAATCTGTTATTTTTTTGTATTAATGTGGTGAAAAAACAACCTTGTCAGGTGATTCTCCAAATTAGCTCCAAACAGACAGTGTCATTGTGTTATTTTATGTATGCTAATTTAACATGACTTTGGCTACAACATAAAAAAACAGCGACTGAAGCAAATTCAAATGAAGTCATCTGAAGGGAAACCCTGAGTAGTGGAATTTAATGTGATTTTTACCTTGAAACATACCACCCATCTTAAACTTTTTGGAAACCAAGGAAGCACCCACAAGACAGCGCTTCCAGCCAGAATCCTCAGGAATGACTTGAGAGTTAAAGGCACAGATCCCAACATCACTGAGCATCCAAAGTACACGTCGGAGCAAGCCTGCCCCATGGAAACCCTGCCCACAGCACTCAAAGTATCCGCTTCCAATATCCTCTTTCCAAGACAGCACAGGGGAAATTCTCAGAAATCCTGTGTCTGTGCCCTACTATGTCATACCTGTTTTGTTAGCATGTGGGTAAGTTACAACATAGTCTCTGTAGTTATTCATAACAGTACTTGCTGTCTTGGCTGAAACACCTTTTAGTGAAGGTTACGAATGATCTTCTTACTGCCTCTGACAGCGGACCCGTCTATGTGCTTGTCCTGCTAGATCTCAGTACAGCTTTCAGTACTGTTGATCATCACATTTTATTACAGCGATTAGAGCACGCTAGAGTACTGTGCTACAGTGGTTTATATCATGTCTATCTAACAGACTCCAATTTGTTCATGTAAATGGAGAGTCCTCTTCACACACTACGGTTAATTATGGAGTTCCACAGGGTTCCATGTTAGGACAAATTCTGTTTACATTATACATGCTTCCCTTAGGCAGTATCATCAGAAGGCATAGCATACATTTTCACTGCTATGCTGATGACACCCAGCTTTATCCATGAAGCCCGATAACACACCAAGTAGTTAAATGGCAAGAATGTCTTAAAGACACAAAGACCTGGATGACCTCAAATTTTCTGATTCTAACTTCAGATGAAACTGAGGTTATTGTACAGAGCCTTCACCTCTCAGGCCCCTCTTCTGTGGAACCAGCTTTCGGTTTGGATTCTGGAGACAGGCACCCACTCTACTTTCAAGAGTAGGAACCAGCAGCAATAGATCTAGGGTCCTGGGGCAGTCCAGTGAGTGTCCAGCATGGAGTGTTTCTCCTTCAGTAACCTTTTTCACTCGCAATGTGTTTATACACCGCTCTGCATTTAATTATTATTTGCTATTATTATCTCTGGCACTCTTCCATAGCATATCTTTGTCCTGTCTTCATCCACTCACCCCGAACCGGTCATGGAAGATGGCTGCCACTCCTTTAGCCTGGTTCTGCTGGAGGTTTCTTCCTGTTAAAAGGGAGTTTTTCCTTTCCCATGTCGCCAAACTGTTTGCTCATAGGGCTTCATATGATTTCTGGAGTTTTCTCTTTTGTCTTATTGTAGGGTCTTTACCTTACAATATAAAGTGCCTTGAAGCAGCTGTTGCTGGGATTTCCAAACACTGCAAGTACTGTTACAGTGTGGCAGAGACACATAACGTCAGCATTGGAATTTAAATTCCCCATAAAGATACTTTTATAAAGTATCTTCATAAAAGTATCATTAGTTATACAAGAAGCAGGCCTAAATGTTTACTCACTGTCACTCAAAGTGAATGCTGGAATAACAAAAAGGAATGTTAAGATAATCATTACCCACTTTGTATTACCATTGTACCTCATGCATCATCAATCAATAGGATGTTATGGCTCACAGCATGGCTGTTTTTCATCACGGCCCTGGCTAATAACTCATAAGGTTGCTTCAGCACTGTAAAGAAGCAGTGTGTGCCAAACCAAGGACAGACTGAGTCTGGGTTATGTCTATTGAAGGTTAAGTAGGGGTGTGTTTTAATCTATTTATGGCTAATTATATCTCTGTGTGGGTCAGGTTTGTGTGCGGGTGTGTAAGAGAACAGTTCGTTTGCAGGGGTTTAAAAAGCTGGCAGGAACATTAAGTTTAGATGTTTCTGTTTTTGAGCATGCACACAGTTTCGGGGGTTTTCATTTGGCCCGTCGCACTTGGAAACATGCTTGGCAACCAATTTTTTCGTAATGCTTTGCTCGTTGGACTGTGGCAAATTGAAAACTGTTTGATTTCATGTTCGTGTTTTTAATTATTTCTCCACGTTGGTCTCTTGCTTCTCTTGCCTTCACTCACCTATCCTGCTTTTTTTGTTTCCTCTTTCAACATGGTTCTCAGTAGCTCTTCTCTAACATTTTTCTCTCTATGTTTTTGCAGGCCTCATCGCAGCAGCTGAAATTCACAACCTCTGATTCCTGTGACAGGATCAAGGATGAGTTCCAGTTTCTTCAAGCACAATACCACAGGTGAAAACACTGCTGCATGCAAACAAAATTGAAAAGCTGTACATATGACAGCCTGTTAAGTGCAGCTCTTTTTAATAAGGAATATATCCCCAGGCTGTACATGTGTATTTTCAGGATTTCTGTTTATTGAACATACTGTGTTTGTGCACCAGTAGCCGGTATGTTAAACATAAACTGAGCTGCGTTGTGGCAACAAAAACCTACCATTTCTAGGTCAGAATGGCTTTTAATGCGGATGTATGTTCTTTTTTTAAACACTTTGTTTTACATCAATAATCACTAACAGTAACACTTGGAAACTGCCTGACTCTACAGCTAGCTAAAACTCAGGGACAGCGAAGTAGTTTATATTTGTGAGCATATTCAGAGAACATTTACTGTCTTAATATTAAATAAATTCAGATAATAATAGTGATAATTAATTTTATAGGAATTGTAAACAAGTAGCAAACAGAGGATGGATCACGTCCTCTTAATTAAATTTAATCGAATACAAAGAAGAGAGTGTTGAGTTCAATTCCACCAGTTCATTTCTGTGTGGAGTTTGCATGTTTTCCCCGTGTTTGCGTGGGTTCTCTCCGGGTACTCCGGCTTCCTCCCACCGTCCAAAGACGTGCAGCTTGTGGGGATAGGTTAATTGGATAATCCAAATTGCCACTAGGTGTGAATGTGAGTGTGAATGGTTGTCTGTCCCTGTGTGTTGGCCCTGCGACAGACTGGCGACCTGTCCAGGGTGTACCCCGCCTCTTGCCCCATGACAGCTGGGATAGGCTCCAGCGCCACCCGCAACCCTGAAAAGGATAAGCAGAAGCGAATGGATGGATGGATGAATACAAAGAATTAACAAAATATGATAACAGTGCCAGGGTTAAGTCTGTATTTTCACTTTAAAAAACAACAAATGGTATCATTGTTTGCAGGATACCTTCAAGAATTTAAATAAAAATCATTAGACTTTTAAGATGAATGTTTGCAGCCAAACACAGTGTGAACTCGAAGAGAACCCTTCTGTGGTAAGAAAAAAATGGAGATGTGTGCCTTTGTTTCAGTAGTATCTCAGCTCTATTGCCATACTGCACACTAAGGAAGCCTTTATTGACTCATACCTAAATCAATCTCGTTTACCCTCGGCTATTGATCTTCCTTTACTGCTTAAATACCGCTACAGCTCCAGAAGTCTGAGGTGCTTCCAAATTCCGACCTTCACTGATCTGTTTGATAGCTGTTGTAAAGAGGAGGGATGCCACGGGGTCTGCATCAAGAAATCCACTCTTTGTGCGAGTGGAGTCTTTGAAGCCTGTCTTCCTTCCTGAGGAGGTTGGTTTGTTCCTCTGTACCTGTACTCCCAGAACCTTCCAGAGGCTTGCCTCAGCCGGTTACAGACACAGGCAAAGGCAGATGAAAGAGTAACACATTGTGTGTAAAATCCTTGCTCTGGTCTGATCGCTTTTGTTTGTAGGGGATTCTAAAGCTGCAGTAATGCCCTGTGCGTCTTTTTCCTCGACTTTGGTTTTTGTAATTCCCACAACAGTGAGCAGCACCATTTAACCCCCTTCAGAGAGTCACGGCGCAGTTGAAAGAATGCCTTTTTTGTCTGAGCATACAGAACATGCATACAGTTCCTATTGACTCAGGAGGGGAGCTAGGATTGGGTGGGGGGCTTGGGAGCCATAGACGAGGCTTTGTAGTATTCTGCTGAGCTGCGTGTGTCTGTTGCTGAAGACTTTAAAAGGCAAATGTACCGCAGGCGTTCCCCCGGGTATAGTACCGAGCATTGTAGCTGTCGCTGTCTTCTTCTTCCCACCCGACAGCCCACCCTCCTTCCCCCGTCTCTTCTCCCCTCCCCTCGTTCACATGCATAAATAGATCAGGGAATACATAAATCAAAATAAAGATGACAGCAGGAGCGATTTAGAGGCGGAAGAATCGGCAATAAAACTCCATCAAAGTGTCGTTTGAGAACAGTGGCGCAGGCCCGGGGGCTGCTGAGCACCAATCAGAGGAGGCACGGAGCCAATCCCAGGTAGGCTGGCAGCGGGGACGCCTGTTGTCATGACAACCCACCATACAGCCTACGCATGTACACAGGGATGGCGCTAAGGGTTTTATGTAAGTGGGAAGGGGAACATTTTGGGCGAGTGGAGGCTGCTCGTACGAAAACAGGATTAAGGATTAAAATCACCAGCCCAAAGAAAAAAAACCCTTCACACATGTCAGTGTTATCAGGTTGGACATCTGTTGCTTACCAAGGTGTGAGCAGTCATAACCAGATATCCTTAGCTTGGACCAGCCAACAAGTGCACATCTTTATTTTGCTTGGTTGCATTTTGGCTGCAACTGTTCTCAATTTCTTCGTATCGATAAAAAGAGTTGGATGGTTGATACGATAAATGTTGAGTGTTATTGCTGCAGAGTGGATTTTCTTTTAAAGCGGGTCACTGTTTACTTGTTTTATACACGTGTGGATTCTTGAGAAACATTGTCATGCACGAAGATGACATCCTTGTTTTCAGCAGCAAGAACCAATCATTACATGAGTTTAAATATTATGGCAAATAAATAATAAAAATAAAGGGCATTAAAACTGTTACTGATATGAAGACCTCAAAGCTGATACTGGGAGGCTGGTTGGATTTTTTTTAAAAAGGAAACCTCAGGCATGACAAATGTCAAACTAAAGGTAATAAATGGAAGAACGAAGAAGTAGCCAAAAGGAGAAGCTAAAACTTCAGAACAACACAGACGTGGAGAAAGACAGAGGCAGTAACCCAGACAGGAAAACAGCCAAGCAACTCAGATGAACTGACAAGTAAAGGAGGAAGAGACCATCTATAAATACACAGAGAAGACTAATTGGGAAAGAAGACTCAGGTGAATCTAATGAGGGCAGAGCAGACGAGGGGAAAATGCTAACACAGTAAGGCAAACCAGCACACAAGACACACAAGGTGACTTATTAACAAAAAAGCAGGAAGTAACAGGGTTACAGAGTTGTTAACAGAGTTCAGAGTGACAGAAAATACACATATAAAAGGAAGGGAGACAGAAAAGGAAACACAGGAGACAGAGCGGGGGGGAAAAGGTAAACTGTTTGGCTGTTAGCGTTTACATTAGGAACAGCTGCTGTGAGAGCACCGTGAGAGCTGAGATAAGACAGAAGAGGATGTTTCTATCTACTTACAAACACAGATATCCCATCATCAGTTACAATTGTGCGAAAAAAAACTAAATAAAAATTTTCATTCCAGAAGTTAAACTTTAATTTTTTTTTTTTTAACGTTTTAGTTTTGATGATTATGTTCTTATAGCTCATGAAAATGAGAAATCCAGTTGAATGATGTTCAATTTCACTTATACACTCAGTACTTGGGGGTCCTTTACTGCAAATTATTGCATTAATGCGGCTTGGCGTGGAGGTGGTCAGCTTGTGGCACTGCCAAACTTTTATAGAAGCTTTGATAGTAGCCTTCAGCTCATCTCTATTCTTGGATCAATTGTTTCTAGTTTTCCTCTTGACAATGGATTTTCAATGTGCTTCAGGTCAGCGGACATGGCTAGCCAATCACAAACCTCTGCAAAATAATGTTTGCTGACCATTAATAATATGTTCAGCAAATGTTTTGGCATGGATGCAGTTGCTAAGGTCTGCTGAAAAAGAAAAGCAGCATCTTCATAACATTTGCCAACACATGGAAGGATAAAGTGCTTTGAAATCTCCTAGTAGATGGCTGTATTGACTTTGGACTTGATAGAAACACAGTGAGCCAATCACCAGCAGATGACATGGCATCTTAAATTTTCACAGACTGTGGAAACATCACACTGGACATCAAAATCCAACCTTACTTTCTGTGCCTCTGCACTCTTTTTCTATTCCTTATGACCTTGATTTCCAATGAAATGATACATTTACTTTGAAACACTGAGTATCTGTCCAGTTCCTTTTCTCCTTAACCCAGATAAGAACTTGCGACATTGCATCTGGTTCAGGAGTGGCTTTGATATTAGAAATGTACTAGTTGAAGTTCCTTTCCTGAACATTTCTGTGGGTGGTGGCTGATGATGCAATGACACCCGCCTCAGGTACTCCTTGTGAAACTCTTACAAGTTCTTGAATCAACTTTCCTTGACAGTCCACTCAAGGTTGCAGCCGTCCGTTTCTTTTTCTGCTTTGCTTTTCCGTTCTAGTCAGCTCTCCATTAACATGCTTAAATCCACTTTTCAGTAATGACCTTCTGTGGCTGTGGGATTCACGATTGTCATCTGGATAAGAGTCAAGTCAGCAGTTTTTTTCCACAATTGCGGTTGTGTTTAATGAACTAGACTGAAGGGGCCTCTTCCAGTGCTGCTTTTATCTGAACAATGTGTGTTTTTCTTCATCCTGGCCTTTTGTAAATTGTACCTACTGGTAGGATGTTTTTTTGGTGCACGTTTTTTCTTCTGTCTGCCAATGGTACCTTGGATGGATCAGCATTGGTCTTCTTCGCCTTTCCTTAACACCTCTGTCTTCTGCTGCCTGAGGCACTCTCACTGCTTAGCAGCAATCCTTGCAGTTCACTCTAGGAGGGCATCTTACTATTCATGACTGCTCCACACGTCCTGGATAGTGGTATAGACATGAATCTTTGTTCCCTCTTCTGTTTGTTTTTTCTGGAAGATCCTTGGAGTGCTGACCTTTGGGTGAATTCCATAGAATTTACTTTTTTTCCAGCTATAAACAAATTATAAACTATTCCAACCATTGAGAAAGCTTCTCAGCACCTGTTTCATCCACTGAGTTTGTGGCTTTCCTTGCCTTGTCATCAAGCCTTATTTGTTTAGTCTTTTTACAGTTGTATAGTCATGAAATTCAATCTGAGGACTCTGGAGACTGAGATGTAGCTCTTGGTTGATGAGTTAATAAATTTCTTTTGATTAGCAGCACCTGGCTGCTACTTAAACTCCTACTTCCTATAGAAGCAATAAGGAGGTCACAGCCGTGCATAGTACTGTGAAAACTTGCTTTTTCTATTGCCAAAAGTATTCACTTTTCTGCTTTCACGCATATGAACTTCAGTGACATCCCGTTTTTAATCCATAGGATTTAATATGATGTCAGCCCACCCTTTGGAACTATAACAGCTTCTGCTCTTCTGGGAAGGCTTTCCACAAGGTTTAGAATTGCGTTTATGGGAATTTCTTTTCTTTTTTTTAACCATTCTTCCAGTAACACATTTATGAAGTCAGACACTGATGTTGGGCGAGAAGGCCTGGCTCACAGTCTCTGCTCTAAATCATCCAAATCAGGTTTCGTACTCTGTGAAGATCAGTCAAGTTCTTCCAAGCCAAACTCGCTCAACCATGTCTTCATGGATCTTACCTTGCGCGCTCGTCTGCAGCCACGTTGGAACAATAAAGGGGCATCCCCAAACTGTTCCCACGAAGTTGGAAGCATGAAATTGTCCAAAATGTCTTGGGATGCTGAAGCATTAAGAGTTCCTTTTATTAATTAAGGGGTTGAGCCCACCTCCTGAAATACAACCCCTTCCATAATTCCCTCAGCTGCTGTGGAAATCCGTTCCATGAAACTCCCTGCGAACTGTTCTTGAGCTAATCTGAAGGCCGCGTAAAGTTTAGAGGTCTGTAGCGATTGACTCTCCAGAAAGTTGGCGTGCACTGTGCACTGTGCTGTGCCCAGCATCTGCTGACCCCGCTCTGTAACTTTACATGGACCTTCCACTTCATGTCTGAGTTGCTGTCATTCCCAGTCGCACTCACTTTGTTATAATACCTCTAACGGCTGACTGTAGAATATTTAGTACCATGGAAATTTCTTGACTGGATTTGTGGTGGCATCCTATCACAATACTAATACTAATACTAATACTAATACTTTTTCATTATATTGTGGTTTTTGTATTTAAAGTCAGGGCAAGGGTGGAGGCTCTAGCTGCAGTCTACACTGCAGTGGCTACAGTAAGTATAGAAAAAGCAGCACAATTCTGTGTGTATGAGTAAGCTTACATTATTGCCTGTGTGTAACACGGTGTTCAGTCTGCCAGTTAAGACTAACAGCGGCAAAGACTGAGCCATCGCTCGCTATAATCGAGCTGTCATTCCTGCAGACAGCTGCGAAGAACAACCCTGCATAAATATACACACACCATCAAACAGGTTACAGACTTATCCTAAATCTGAACCTATCTAGCATGTGTGTCTGCATATTTTGATGAGTCTTACCCACGCTTCACATCGGATGATTCCGCCTGTGACTGACACGCTATAAAAGGCTGCTTCAATCAAAATCACAGAGGGGCTCTTTTTTTTCCCACCTCTGTCGTTTTTATTTGACAATCAGGCTGACTTGTTGATGCATCCTCCTTTGTCCTGTCGCCTCGCGTGACATCAACGCTGACATGATTACAGCTAATGGCTGTCGCAGGGAAAGGGTCGCAGAGAACGCGTCAACACTATATTTAGACTTTTTGCTTCGCTGCCTCTTCTTTGATTTAGTGAGCAGACATTTTGGCTCGGCTCGTCTCTGGAGTTCAGAGGGAGTTTGACCTCCTCCTGTCAATTGACACATGTCAGGTGTGGCGAACACGCTGCCACTGACTAATAAAGGCGAGGATGATGATGATGATGATGGTGCTAATGATGATGATGCAGTTGGCAGCGATGATATAGATGAAAATGGTGGCGGGGGATGATGAGAACGGAGGTGGTGCTGCTGCTGCTGCTGATGATGATGGTGGCGGTTGAAGCAATGATGAAAGTGATGACAGTGCTGCCGGTGAAAGTGGAGGTAATGATGATGAAGGGGGGTAGAAGTCACCTGGTGTCAGCACTTTTAGAAGGAAGACTGTCGAGCTGAATAACAAGGTCTGACTCTGTCCTCCTCTCCTCTCCCCTCCCTCTCTCTCCAGTTTGAAGCTCGAGTGTGACAAGTTGGCCAGTGAGAAGTCAGAGATGCAGCGCCATTATATCATGGTGAGTTAAGCTGTGTGTGCTGCGCGTCAGAGCTGATGGTTGACACAAAATGCCATCTTTTCACTGTTTTTAACTAATGTAGATTTTGGTTGTTGTGCAACTTCTTTGTATTTTCACTCTACCTCCTCCCTACCCTTCATCATCTTCCCTTTTGCACAGCAAGTCATTTTCATAGATTTTCTTAAAATTGCTTGCAAATGATTTCAGTTAGCAAAGAAGTGACGCCGTCGTTGTGCTTCTCTTGAAAAATGTTTCCTTTGTTTGGGAATCTGACAGTTACATTATTAATTTTCCAAACTCATCTAAACAGTCCAACAACTCCCTTAATTAGATTCTTCTTCGAAGAAAACGGACGGCATCAGTTGTTTCAGCAAATGCCCTGAAAAAGCATGCCTTAATGATCAAGCGACATGTCCCTTTAGTGTTTGCTGGAACAAAGGCTGTTGTCTGTCAGCGAACAAAGAAGGAAGTTGGGTGATGTTATTACAGAGCCGCGAAGCCTGCAGCAGGAGGAGATTGGACTAAGTGAGCAAACAAAACTTTTGCCGTGCTAATGGATCGTAAAATGTAATTTTTTCCAGCCGTGATTTGCACAATTTTGGCACAGACAGATAACGCCATCCTTCAAATTAGGATATCATATCTGGAAAAAACATTTTCTTTTAGTTCAGTTTGAAGGACATGTTGGTGAAACCCTAAAGTGCGCAGTGCAATCAAATCCAGTTGCTGACTGGTGTTGATTGTAACCCCGTTAGACTTGAAATCTCAACACGTAACATGATTGAAATGATGGTATCATGTTCCCTAAAAACAAAACCTGAACTGAAATAAACCAGAATTTTTCATGCTTTGTCAAAGTCAAAGTCAACTTTATTGTCAATTCTGCCCCATGTACAGGACATACAGAGAATAGAAACTACGTTACTCTCAATCCCTAGATAAAAAAGCAAATGAACATTTAAATATAAGAGTGATTAAAAAAAATGCAGGTAAAATAATTAAAAAGTAAAAATTTAAATAAATAAATACAATACAATTTTACATATAACAAGAAAGCTATACAATATACAATATAATGGGTAAATGACATTGGGTGTAAACCAGGCAGAGTAGTGCAAATAGGCAAATAGTGCAAATGGAGATTTAGGGAAAGAGATAGTGTAACAACAAAGTCTTATGAGGTATTGTTCCCTTTTGCTTCTGTAGTTAATGTATGTGTTACTCGCCTCCCCCAGCCCCCTTCATTTCCTCTTTTTTCCCCCCATCTCTCTGTCTCTGTCCACACATTCACATCCACACACAAACATGCACACACAGATGTGGTTGCCTGCTCTCTGCTCCACCTCGGGGCTAATCTCATTGTTGCTGGCCGTAGCTGTGTAGCCGTCTGATGTTTTGCCTCTAATTGATCCTCTGACTGGCTTTAATCTCATCTCATCTGCGCTGCCGCACTGCTCTCTCCACCATCAGCAGGGCAGCAGACACATACAAACACACAATTCCTCTGTGTATCTTTCAGGCAGACATGTGTACACACAGTTTCACACACACACACTCAGGCATTGTCGTCCTTGTGCACATAAGCACACACCCACTGAAACGAGCACAGTCGTGTAAAACAGATTTAATGAAAAACCGATGCCACGAATTTCAGAAATAAATGGAAACTCTTACTAAAGTGTGTTGCAGAACCCAGCAAATTCTGATTTGTGTGTTTTTTCTTTGTGTAATTGCAGTGATTTATCCAGATTATAGGTAATAGTTGATTTAAGCATTTAAATGTTTTGAAGAAACGCAGCTGCACAAATTAATAAGGGACATGCTGACTTTTATATTCAGAAAAATGTTCTACAGACTGTTTAGTAGCCTGCAGGCTGATATTATCAGCACAAAGTTTTCATTAGGGTTTGGTATTTTTCTGATCAGCTTGTGAGGCACTACAAAGTGATATACAACTTTCAGCTGCTCTGTTTTTTGGCAACGTTAACCAAAGCATCTCTTTTTTCTTTTTAAGAGTGCTCCTTTGCCTCCAGTTCACTCAGTGACTCTGTGATGCATGTGCTAAATCAATTTAAGGGACACTTTAAAAGACAGAACCCAGACAAGGCTGCATACATGCAATGGGTAATTCAAAGGCTGATGGAGGCAAAGCTCAGTTTGAGTGTTCTGTGTAGTTTCTATCCCCTTAAATGTTGTGGTCCTGCTTTTAAATGACTAAGGGACAGATCATTATCTCTTAGGACCACTTCAAAGTCCTATATTGTACCAACTTTTAACAAGATAATGTAAGTCTTTAATGTCCCAGCATTGTGTCTATTTCTAAACACATGGTTGTTCCTGCTTTTACTGAAGTTACTGAACCTTTCTTGCTTAACAAGAGTCAGCTTTGGTACAAGTTAGCAGCTTGGTGCTACATTACATTACATAGCCAGGCTTGAAAACCCCTAAAACTCTAGTTTAAGATAATGGGTATCACAGCAGTGGTTATCAGCTTCCATTGTTAAGCTAGACTTTCTTTATCAGATTCTGTCTGCAAGCCCATAAAAGGTACATAAAATGCATATAATAGTAACCGAGTGTATATTTTGACTCTTCTGCACAAAATTGATTAACTGAGTGCTTCTTACATTTGTTAAGAAGACCAGATCATATGTTGCTTATATGTTGAATATAAGCACAAGGGAACACTGGTGCTACAAGAAAGGAAAGCTAGCAGAAAGTTTAGCTTTCTGTCTTTCATTATTTCTAATGTGATAGCTGCACTTTGGACATCTTAAATCTTAAAACAGAAACACACTGATTCAGGATACTCGAGTGGGTTGGTCTTTACTGCAGTTTCAATGATATATCAGTGCAGGAGCTCAGAGATTCCCAGATTACACATCAAGAGATGTCAGACGTTCTGAAGCAAAGTTTGCTTCCCATTTCCACATCTTCTACTTCTGCTGACTTGATGCATCTATCGTTCAGAACAATACTGCAGCCAGGAGGGAAAACTGGGCTGGAGCCAGTCCCAGCAGACACTGGTCAAAAGGCAAGGTTCACTCTGGATGGTTTGCAACCACATGAACTTCCCTATCTTACATGTGGCGAATCAAGAATCAACAGGAAACTTAACATTCCTGCCTTTGGATCGTGTGAAGACGCCAACAAGTTACTCAGGTGAAGCTGCTAAAATTGGCCAAAACAAAACTGATAAATTGGTTTGCTTAGATTTGGTAATAGGTGGTGCTTTTCCCCATTTTGATGTTACAAGAGGGGAATGATCTTTTCTCTATTTGGTAGGTAGGGCTGTGCGATATGACCAAAATCTCACATCCCGATATAAGAATTCTATCGTCC